TGGAGGGGATTATAATCATTGTAATGAAACAAGGTGTATGATTTGTTTAATGTAAAACTGATAATGCCCTGTAAACTTTCACTCAATCCACAATAAGAACCTTACAAAAAAGAGAAAAGAAAGAAAGAAATCCAATGACTCAAATGATGTATTGCCTTGGGCACATCTGCTGTTAAAAAGCAAAGATAGCACCTTGAGGACTAAGGGGCACCTGATCCAAGACAAAGCATTTTTCAGTCGCTTCATGCATATTCGAAAGCTGCACAATGAATAAGGAAGCCTGAAGAAGAATTGATGTATTTAAATTATGAAGTTGATGAAGAATATTGAATATACCATGAGCTGTCAGGAGAATGAACAGATCTGCCTTGGAAAAAGTACAGCCAGAATACTCCTTAGAAGTGAGGATGGTAAGACTTCATCTCATGTACTTTGGACATGTGATCAGGAGAGACCAGTCCCTGAAGAGGACTTCATGCTTGGAAAGCAGAGGTCAGGAAAATGGAGGAAGACCCTTAAGGCAATGGTTTGCACCATGGCTGTCACAGTGGGCTCCACCATAACCATGGTTGTGAGGATGGTGCAGGATGGGGAAGTGTCTTGTTCTACTGTACATAGGGTCTGTATGAGTGAAAACTGACTGGACAGCACCTAACAATAACAACAATCTTTATGGAAACAGATCCCAAGGTCTTTCTCCTATGGAGCCACAGAGTAGGTTCTAACCGCCAACCTTTTTGTTTGCAGTTGCATGTTTAACTCTTTGTGCCACCAGGACTCAAGCAGGCTCCTTAGGAAGGCAGTCCTGATAAAGAACTGAGAAACACCAGGCTAGGCCTCCCCATCTGCCAGGAGACGTGGGTGAAGACTCTTCCCTAGGAGCTGGCAAGGCCAGTGAGTTCAAAGTGGCTTCTGCTCACTTACTCGGAGGACATTCATGGAGTGCACATGCAGGCCGGCCCCAAGCTGGACTAAGAATTGTTAAAAACTGGGAGTGGCTTCTGCCCCCATATCCTCCCCATCCCCCTGACTTGCTGGGAAGCTAGAGGAGTAAGCAGGCAATTGTAAGACAAGGAGAGAGCCAGCCTTCATAAGGGTAATGGTGAAAAGTTTAAGAAGGAGCAGGGAAAGGTCCTACCCTGGCCTGGAAGGCCAGGGAAGGCTTCTTGGTGGACAGTCCTCCTAAGCTGAGTTGTAAAGACTAATAGTAGCTAACCAGGTGAAGGGATGTTGTTGGGGAGGGGATAGGAATGGCCTAGCAGGCATTCGAAAGCTGGGTAGGAAGTCCTGGCAATGAGAGAGCCTGGATGCCCCCCGAAAAGTGGCTATGCTGGACAGGGTCTCAGTGTGGGGGTGGGGTGCAGGCTGGGCCAAGGCTGTGTGGGACCAGGGTCTTCATCTCTCATCTACTTCTCATCCCAGGGCTATGTACTCAGAGGCTGGATGGACCTGACCTCAGACAAGCCCCACACTGTGAAAAAATCCATCAAGTACCTGGAACAAGGAATTCAAGACACCAAAGATGTGTTGGGGATGATGGGAAAGGTGAGTAATAGGGAGAGTACCCTAGCTAGGTAGCCACCAGATGACCTCAGGCCAGATCCTTGGCCTTTAAGTCCCTTACCTGACAGATGAAGAACAGAGGCCCAGAGAGGATTAGCAACTAGCCCAAGAGCCCAGCAGCCCAGGTTTTGTTCCCACTCTTACACTCCTTCCTGCTTAGCCTAACTGTCTCCTTCTTCATTGGGGTTGATCAAGGTCTTCTTCTCAGACTCTCTGTCTTGTCTTTCTTCTTGGTTCCACTCACTGCCCCTTTTCTTGGACGCCTTCTTGCCCCCTCTTCATCTTGTCCTTTCCCTTCTTTCCTTGTCTGAGCATTCACTTAGCCATAAAAGAGAGACACACACAATCTGTTATATGTTTTGAATTTTCTGATCTTAATTTAAATCCTTGTTAGTGTCTGACAAGTTGATTCCGACTCATAGCGACCCCTTTCATTACAGAGTAGAACTGAGGATTTTCTTGACTATCTTAGTGGAAACAGATCACCAGGCATTTTCTTCCTTGGTACCGCTCGGTGGGTTCGAATCACTAATGTTTATAGTTTAGTATTGTTGTTGTTGTTGTTACATGCCATCTAGTTGGTTCAGACCCATAATGACCCTGTAGTATAGGGTTTCTGAGGAGCGGCTGGTAAGCTTGAACCGTGGACCTTATAGTTTAGTGTCCAAGAGCAAATCATATATGCTAGTATGAGTCTGTGCCCCAAGGCTGTAAATATTTGAGGAGCCATACAGCATTAGTGTTGTTGTTGTTGTTAAGTGCTGTTGAGTCAATTCCGACCCATAGCGACCCTGCACAGGGTTTCCGAGGTTGTAAATCTTTACGGGAGCAGAAAGCCTCATCTTTCTCCAGTGGAACAGCTGGTAGTTTCAAACTGGTGACCTTAAGGTTCGCAGCCTGATTCGTAACCACTATGCTATCAGAGTATTAGTGTTGTTGTTGTTGTTAAGTGCCGTTGAGTTGGTACCGACCCATAGCGACCCTGTACAGGGTTTCCGAGGGTGTAAATCCTTACAGGAGTAGAAAGCCTCATCTTTCTCCCACGGAGCGGCTGGTAGTTTCGAACCGCTGACCTTAAGGTTCGCAGCCCGATTCGTAACCACTACGCTACCAGAGCTCCTTAGAGTATTAGTGTAGGGTGTTTTAAATCAATCTCTTTTGAGATTTAAATGGGTAGAATAAGCAAATAGCACGCAAAGAGAAATGGGGATAGAGGCCATGCCACAAGGAGATAGCCAAGGAAATAAGAACTGTGAGCCTCATCATTCTCCTGTGGCTCGAACTGCCAACCTTGTATTTCTCAGTCCAGTGTTTATCCTACAGAGCCACCATGCTCAGCTTGCGCCACCTAGGGATTTTAAATTTACATCACATTCTTGTTTTCTTATGCGACCCTCTTGAAATCAACATTTGAGAGAATAACTATCCTCATAGTCTCTTCTTTTGGTATATTTTTTTTTTACAAAATGAATACATCCTCATTAAAAAAACCAGAAGTCTGAAAAAAACACAGTCAGAAAGTAAATTTAAAAGATAGGCTCAGCCTCACCTCCACCAAATGACTCAGGTCAACATGTTTAGACAGCGCCTCCAAGTCTTTTTCTATGCATAGGTTCTGAAGTGCGTGAGATGGTTTTCTGGGAAGCAGGAGACTGGAGATTTATCAGAGATCACCCATGGGAGGACTGAAGGGAGCAGAGCTGTGAAGAGGGAGAAGCTGAGTTATGATGCCACCGTCACAGAGTCTTGGTTATTATCTAGTGCTGCTCTCACAGAAATACCACAAATGGGTGGCTTTAACAAACAGAAATTTATTTTCTCACAGTTCTTGTTTCCTTGGCTATCTCCATGTGTCATGGCCTCTATTCCTCATTTCTCTTTGCTTGTTGTTTTCTTATTCTACCCTTTTAAATCTCAAAAGAGATCGAATTAAAACACCCTAAGCAGTTTGAAACTACCAGCTGCTCCGCGGGAGAATGATGAGGCTTTCTGCTCCCGTAAAGATTTATAGCCTCGGAAACTCTGTACAGGGTCACTGTGGGTCGGAACCGACTCCATGGCACACAACAACAACAACAATACTAAGGAGGGAGCAGTTGCTGGAGAAGGATATCATGTTTAGTAAGGTGGAGGGTCAGAGAAAAAGAGGAAGACTGCCAGTGAGATGGATTGGCCAAGTGGCAGCATCAATAGTGGCCACAATAGTGAGGGTGGCCCAGGATCGGACAATGTTTTCTTCTGTTGTGCTTACGGTGGCTATGAGTCAGTACCGACTCGATGGCACCTAACAACAACAAATACTAATACTGTATGGCTCCGTAGGATAAACACTTGACCACAAGGTTGGTTTGAACAGCAAGGTTGACGATTCAAACTCACCAGCGGCTCCTCAGAAACCCTCTACAGGGCCACTTACAACAAGAACAACACATGAATACTACCTCATTAAGATACCAAAGGAAACCCTATTCCCAATGGGATTGTAACCACAGATATAGCAGGATTGATTATGCATATTTTGGGGGAATACAGTTCAACCCATAACACAGCAAAGGCCTCAGGCAGTGCCATGTGGAATCTGGAATCTGGACTGACTTTTAACATCGTCTCTGACAAGCCTCTGGTGGCGCTACAGGCTAAGCATTGGACTGTTAACCACAAGGTTGACTGTTCAAACCCACCAGCCACTCCAAGGGGAAAAGATGAAGCTTTCTGCTCTATAAAGACCTCTATCCTCAGAAACCTTATACAAAGGAGCTCTGTTAGTATAGTGATTACAAGTCGGGCTGCTAAACTCACAAGTTAGCAGTTCAAAACTACCATTCGTTCCACAGGAGAAAAATGAGGCTTTTGCTCCCATAAAGATTTATAGCCTCAAAAATCCTATGCAGGGTAGCTATGAGTGGGAACCCAGTCCACAGAGCACTACCACCACCCCATGACATAGACTGCCTCAGGAAGGGGGTGTGACCTTGAGGAGGCTCAGCTGAGAAACAGGATTGCTGACTCTCCTGTTCCAGAAGGGGGCTCCACACAGCACCCACTTCAGGGTGGGAGATTTGTTGTTAAGTGCCATCGAGCTGATTCTGACTTACAGCGACCCTGTATAGGGTTTCCGAGGAGCGGCTGGTAGGTTTGAACAACCCCAACCTTGAAGTTAGCAATCCAGTGCTTATCCTAGAGTGCCCCACCAAGTTTCCAGGGTGGAAAATAACAATGATGTTAAGAATGTAGTTTTAGTCATAGGGCAAGGAGTCTTGGTGGGGCACTGTAGGATAAGTAAAGGACTGCAAGGTCTGTGTGAACCACAAGGTCAGCGGTTCAAACTCACTAGCTGCTCCTTGGAAACCCTATAGTGGGTTACTAGCAGTTAAAACCCACTTAACAGCAACAACTATAAGGCATATGTCATTTGGTTTCTTTTTCTTTAAACTTTTTATTGTGAATTGTGTGGTTTACAGAGCAAATCCTTTTTCCAATCAGCAATTCATGTGCATCTTTTTTTTTTTTTTTTTATGTCATTGATTGTAGTCCCTACTATGTGGTATCACTTACGCCATTCCTGCCAGGGGAACTTTATCCCTGAAGAGGGTTTCCTGGGCAGAGAGGCTGCTGTTGTTTCTGCAGAGGCCAGGACCCCACCCAGGGAACCCTGGTAGAGTAAAATTCCCACAAAGCCTAACTGCCTTAAAGTTGCTAAAGTTGGCCCCGCTGAGCAGTTTTCATCCAAGTCCCTGTATGGTGAGAGGCTGGCAGTTCAAACCCACCCAGTGGCTCATCGGAAGAAAGACGTGGCAATGTGCTTCCATAAAGATAACCGTGAAGAAAAGCCAATGGAGCACCATCTATTCTGCACGCATCACATTCTATGAGCCAGAATCGACTACATGACAAGGTTTACACAACAGCTTTCTATGACAAAATTCAGAAAAGCCAGTGGGAAATAGGAACTTGCCTAGTGACCCCAGATCTGCCCCTCAGGGTAGCCCTCACATGGCTTGGCCTTTTCTAACCTTGCTGATCCCCCTGGAGCCTCTGCCTTGCTCAGCCAGGAACCCAAGGCTGCTGTGAACCTTTAATTGACACTCTGAGTGACAGATCTATCCCTGAGGGGCTGCCAGGACTGCTGCCCAGCAGGGGCCTGAGGACTCCCTGGCCCAGCTGAGGAGACCACAGTGGCCACCTGTCACTCTACTCGCCCTGCAGGAGACACTGGGTGTACCCTATCTCCTTTCGTGGACAGTGAACTTTAGGGGCTGCTCTTACCCTTTCTATCCACAGGCAACATACCTTATGGTGCAGCAGAACTACTCCGGGGCTCTGGAGGTTGTGAACCAGATCACAGTAGCCTCAGCAAGCTTCCTGCCGGCCTTTGTCCTAAAGATGCGGCTGTTCCTGGCCAGGCAGGACTGGGAACAGACAGTAGAAACAGGACAAAGGTAAGGGATGGGCTGCTTCCTGCATTTCCAAGCTGAGGTTGCTAACATGCTTCCATCCTAGAAGACTGGGACATAGGAGATGCTGTCTGTACTTGATAGAATAAGACCGAAAGGTCAATACTGCTAATAGAGGTGTTATAAGGAATGGGATGATCATACTGGGTGGGGAAGGGAGGAAAGACAGATGTCACTGAGCTAAAATAATCATCCATCATAGCAAGAGGCCAGCTGCTCTAGCCTACAGTGGGTAAAGCAAGAAGAAGATTCATAGGCATGCTGTTTAGAAGAGAGAGGGATGGAATCGTCAGAACACAGAGAAGCAACAGTTGCCTCTGAGGAGTAGGGGTTAGGAAGCAGTGAAAGGAGAGTGACACCAGGGACTACTGTGTCATTTTTTTAAACTGTGGATGTTGTTGGTAGGTGTCATTGAGTCAGTACCAACTTGTAATAAACCTATGCACAATAGCGTGAAACACTGTCGGGTTCTGCACCAACCTCACAATTGTTGCTATGTTTGAGTCCATTGCTGCTGCCACTGTGCCAATTCATCTTATTGGGGGCCTTCCTCTTTTTCTCTGACCCTCCACTTTACCAAACATGATATCCTTCTTCAGGGACTGGTCCCTCATGACAGTATGTCCAAAGTATGAGAGACAAAGTCTGGCCATCCTGGCTTCTAAGGAGCATTCTGCCTGTACTTTTTCCAGCATAGATTGGTTTGTTCTTTTGGCAGCCCATGATATTCTCAATATTCTCCTCCAACACCTTATCTCAAATGCATCAATTCTTCTGTGATCTTCCTTATTCACTGTCCAACTTTCACCTGCATCTGAGGTTACTGAGGATACCATGGCTTGGGTCAGGTGCATTTTACTCCTCAAATTGACATCTTTGCTCTTCAACACTTTAAAGAGGTCTTGTGCTACAAATTTTGCCTAATGCAATACGTCATTTGATTGCTTGACTGCTGCTTCCATGAGTGTTGATGGTTGATCCAAGCAAAATGAAAGTCTTTGACATCAGTCTTTTTCTCCATTTATATGGATGTTGTTTATTGGTCCGGTGGTAAAGATTTTTGTTTTCTTTACATTGAGGTTCAACTTAAACCAAAGGCTGTGGTCTTCTATTTTCATCAGTAAGTCTTTTAGGTACTCTTTATTTTCTTCTGCATATTGCTGGTTGTTAATGAGTCTTCCTCCAATCCTGATGCCATGTTTTTCTTCATATAATCCAGCTTCTCAGATTATATGCTCAGTATACAGGTTGAGTAAGTATGGTGAAAGAATACAGCCCTGTGCACACCTTTCCTAATTTCTAAGTTCTGGGTATGATGTACTTAAATAAAAGACCATTTTTCATTAAAAATTTTTAGAGGAAAAAGGGTCATTGGTTTCGTTTCCACGTGTTGCTCTAACAGAATGACCACAAGTGGGTAGCTTTAATTAACAGAATTTATTTCCTCACTGTTCAGGAAATTAGAAGTCCAAATTCAGGGTGCTGACTCTAAGGAAAGCTATCCGCTCTGGGGGAAGGTCCTTGTCTTTGCTTCTGTAGCTCCAGCATCCCGGGGTGGCCATCTCCACTTGATATCTGCCTCCCCACCCCCATATGTGCTCTGTGTCTGCTGCTGCTGCTCCTTACAACTCAGAACACACACTATACTGTTAATGGGCCCATTAACATAACAAAGAAAGCCGTACTTCCAAACAGGTTTGTATCCACAGATACTTTGTTTGTTGTTAAGTACCATGGAGTTGTGATCCATACTGACCGGGTATAACGTTTCTGAGGAGCAGCTGGTGAGCTTGAACTTCCGACCTTGCTGTTCAAAGCGACTTTGTGGGTAGGATTTCTACACATATTTTGGGCAGGGGAGGTGGAACACAATTCAATCCATAGCAGTGACATTGAGAGAATTGTTTTAGTGGCAGACTAGGGTTATAAACAGAGAGTTTAGGAGTTACTGCAACGTGTCCAAGCCTGGTGCCCACTGTAGCATGATCTTTGAAGCACTCATTACAAATAAAGAAGAACTTAAGAGAGAGGGATACTTAATAGAAGATTTTTTAAATTTCTATTCTGATGTGATAATGAATGCACTGGGATCGTTTTTATTTTTTAAGATGTGAATCCCAGCACATGGCATGGTGAATTTGAGGCTGATAGCAATGTAGGGGTTCCCTAATAGCACTGTGTGATCATTGTTGTTGTTGTTAAGTGCCATGTAATTGGTTCCAACTCAGGACAACCCTGTACAGGGCTTCCAAGAAGCAGTTGGTGAGCTTGAACCACCGACCTTGCGGTGCAAATGACCTTGCAGTCTATTGCATTAACCTACAACATCACTGAGTATACTTACCTTATAAGAAATTAGATTTCTGGATTTCTCTTGAAAAGTTAAAAGTGTCGTTGTCTAATTTCAACATCCTAATGGAGTCCTGGTATGGCGCTGTGGGTTAATGCACCAGACTGCAAAGCCGTTTGAACTACAAGGTTGGCAGTTCAAGCTCACCAGCTGCTCTGCGGAAACCCTATACAGGGTCGCTATGGGTTGGAACCGCTCGATGGCACTTAACAACAAGAACAACAACAACATTATAATACGTTTATGGTGTGTGTCTGTGTGTGTGAGAGAGAGAAGTTTGATGAAGTGAAACTTGAGTACCTGAATCCAGCTATTCATAGGGGAACTGAGAAAGTGATTAAAAGTATCTCTTTAGTGAATAAAAACGTATTTGTCACATTTATTTTGGTTGTTCAGTGCTGCTGAGTGGGCTCTGACTCAGAGCGACCCTATATAGGGTTGCTAAGGAGTGGCTGGAGAGTTTGAACCACAGACCTTGCAGTTCAAACCAACCGTGCGGTCCAGTGCTTGCTTATTCTACAGCATCACACCATAGTCATCTCTCAGCCAACGTTATCCTGTATCTTTTTAAGTTGTGGTTTTATGACACCTAGAGAAACATACAGCAGGTACATACTATGACAAAAACTGTCTTATGGTTTACTGGTTATTTTCTATCCCTACTCATCAATAGTTGGAATTTTCTACATTTTCTTCTTCTTTTTTTAATTCCCTATTGCCCCCTTACCCAACCCCTGATAACTGCCAATAAACTTTGGCCTTTAGGAATGTCAGTGGGAACATACAATATTTGCCCTTTTGTACCTGGCTTCTTTCACTTTGCATGATGTTTTCCAGTTCATCCATGTTATAGCATGTATCAGAGCTTTTTAATGAATGAATGTGTAAGTGTTCCTGTTTCTCACATCCTTGCCAACACTTGTTTTCCTTCTTTTTTTATAATTTGCTGTTGTTGCTAGGAGCCGTTGAGTTGGTACCCACTCATAGCAAGCCTGTGCACAACAGAATGAAACACTACCTGGCCTCACAATCGTTGCTACATTTGAGACTGTTGCTGCTGTCACTGTTCCAGTCCATCTTGTTGGGCTTTTCCTCTTTTTCTCCAACCCTCCATTTGCCAAACATGATATCCTTCTCCAGGGACTGGTCCCGCCTAACAATATGTCTGAAGTATGAGAGACGAAGTCTGACCATCCTGGCTTCTAAGGAGCATTCTGCCTGTACGTCTTCCAACATAGATTGGTTTGTTCTTTGTAAGTCCATAGTACTTTTAATATTCTCCTCCAATACCATATGCATCAATTCTTCTATAATCTTCCTATTCACTGTCCAACTTTTGCATGCATTTGAGGTTATTGAAAATACCATGGCTTGAGTCAGGCACACCTTCGTCTTCAAGCTGACATCTTTGATCTTCAACACTTTAATGAGGTCATGTGCAGCAGATTTCCCTAATGCAATACATCATTTGATTTTTTTGTCTGCTGCTTCCATGAGTGTTGATGGTTGATCCAAGCAAAATGAAGTCTTTGACAACTTCAGTCTTTTCTCCGTTTATATGGATGTTCTTTATTAGTTTGGCCATACTTCTTCCAACACAGATCGGTTTGTTCTTCTGGCAGTCCAAGGTACTTTTAATGTTCTCTAATGCTATAGCCCAAATGCATCAATTATTCTCTGGTCTTCCTTATTCACTGTCCTACTTCCGTATGCATATGTTTTATAATAGCCATCCTATTATTAAAATGTATCCTGGTGGGTGCTGTAGGATAAGCACTAGACCACGAGATTGGCTTGAACCCCAGGATTCACTGTTCAAACTCACCAGCCAGTCCTCGGAAACCCTGTACAGGGTCGCTATGAGTTGGAAGCAACTCGATGGAACTTAACAACATATTTCATTGTGGTTTTAATTTGCACTTAGGACCAGCACTGGACTATGAGCCACAAGGTTGGTATTTCAAACCCATGAGTTGTTTCTAGGAAACCCTGTACAGGGTTGCTGTGAGTCTGAACCAACTCGATGGTACTTAACAACAACAATAACAGTGACTAATGGGAGGCATGGTGTGGCGCTGTAGGATAAGTACTGGATTGCTAATTTTAAGATCAGTGGTTCAAACCCTCGAGCTGCTCCTTGGAAAGGCTCTACAGAGTTGCTATGAGTCAGAAATGACTCAACAGCACTTAACAACAGCAAATGACTAATGGTGTAGAGCAAGGGGTATCATTGTTCACATCAAATGGATCTTGCCCAAAAGCACTGAATACCAGACTTTGCAAAAGCATTCAACTGTGTGGATCATAAAAAACCACGGACAACATTGTGAAGAATAGGAATTCCAGAACATTCCATTGTGCTCATGTGGACCTATCTAAAGACCAAGAGGCAGTTATTCATACAGATCAAGGAAATAATGTATAGTTTAAAACTAGAGAAGATGTGCATCAGGGTTGTATCCATTCACCATACTTATTTCATCTTTATGCTGAACAAATAATCTGAGAAACTGGATTCTATATAGAATGTGCCATCAGGATTGGAGGAAGGCATATAACCTGTGATATGCAAATGATACAGCCTTGCTTGCTGAAAGCGAAAAGGACTTGAAGTACTTACTGGTGAAGAACAAAG